ATATAGAATACACAAAAGGGGAGTGAATACAATACACAGGAAGGTGATTGGATACTTTGATATGGATAGGAAAGTGATTGGATGCACTCACAGCACCATAAAGAAAAGTTACATTTCACTCTAATTAGATGTCTTTGGCAGGCCTTCTAAATTAAAGTTACCTTGAACAGGCTGGCCAAGTTAAGTAAACAGAAAGGTTACATGTGTGAACTTACAGGGTTAGGGAAGCATTTTAGCAAGCGTATAAAACACAGAGATTGCACCTTGACCGTTACCCACGAATAGAGTGGGGTCATTTGGTCTTCACAACCAGACACTGTGGCATCTTTTGATGTGTTTATGGCAAGGCAGTGAGGTGGAATGGTAAAATTTGTTTTTCTGAGTACACATGTGTCGAGATGTTGAAGCAAAAAGCAGGACTAGGAGAGAGAGAATTTATTTATTTGTTTGTTTGGAGCTTTTGTATGCCATCCCATTCGCATAAGCCTCGGGACGGCTTCCAACATCATAAATAAACAGTGTATAAATAATACATATAAAATCCGGATTCTCCCTGGCTGTAGAAATTAAAACCAATAAATAATATTAACAATTATTAAAATATTGTTGAAATAAAAAGATCTTGGCCTGGTGCTGAAAAACAAAGAATGACGGCGCCAGGCGGACCTCTCTGGGGAGCGCATTCCATAAGTGGGGCACCACCGCAGAGAAAGCCCTCCTCCGAGTACTTGCCCTCCTAATATCCTTCACAGAGGGTTCCCGGAGAAGGGCCTCTCCCGCTGATCTCAGGGGGCGGCTGGGCATATATGGACCTTCACATAACCAGCACCCAAGCCATTAAGGGCTTTATAGGTCATAACCAACACCTTGAATTGAGCCCAGACTTTGATGGGGAGCCAGTGAAGCTGGTAGAGGACTGGGGTTATGTGAGAGTAATGCCCAGTCCCCGTCAGCAACCTGGCTGCTCTATTTTGCACCATCTGAAGTATCCGGACTGTCTTCAAGGGCAGCCCCACGCAGAGCGCGTTACAGAAGTCCAGTCGGGAAATAACCAATGCATGTGTCACTGTCACTAGGCAATCCTCCTCCATTGACATTGAAACTGAAACCCTGAGTTAACATACAATAGCAACCCTGACATGGAGCAGTCCAGACTACAAGTCACATGGCCCATGAGAGCATGGTCATTGGGCAGGAATGCTGGGGGTTATAGTTCAAAACATTGGGGAGGGGGCTCCAGGTTGGTGAAGGAAGCAATAGGGCATGCGGTTCTGACTGTGACAGCCGCCAAAACCAAACAGGAGATGGAAGATTATGAAATGACGGGTCCAGCCACATGTGTGCGCTCAAAAGCAAGCCCCACTGAGTTCAATGCAAGAGTTGAACACTTGGAGTTGGAATACTTGGGGGCATACTAGGAGACCGCCCCCCTCCCACCTCGTCCAAACACGCCTAGGGCGTACCTGAACCACTCAGACGTGGGGAAATAGACGTTAACATTCAAAACTTCAAGTATGCACAGAGTTTATCAGTCTTTCCAAACTCGGCATACTCCGGAAGTGCTGGACTACAACTCCTACAAAACTCCCAAGCACTGTTGGGGGGTTAGAGGCCCAAGTTCGGGAAAGTTCAGGACGAAATAGTTACGCACCTTTCTTTGAACGCGTTTTTCTGGCTTGAAAAGAAAGTTGGAGGAAACCCCTGTAATTTTTTTAAATGTGAAATAGTGGAAATGGCCGCTTCGGACACAGAGGGGATTCGAACTGGCGGCTCAGCGGCCGCCGCGGTAACAGTCATAGTTTCACCTGGGACTTTTGCGGTTATCCACTTCTAAAGCTGCTTTATGCAGGAAAATATCCTCAAAGGGAGACTCAGGATGCACATAATCCTCGTGCTGATTTTTAAAAGAGGGCTATTAAAGGCTATTTCTTCTCGTTTAAGGTTCTGCATTCCTATTGGGTGACAGTATGCATAAATTAGAGATGCCGCGCCTCAAGCTTGTTTGGACTGGATTTCTGATTATATTGTTCCCTTTCTTCGCTTGCACTACGTGGAGCAAAAGGGGAAAACAGCGTAAGGGAACTATTTCGGTAGATTAATTATTCCCCCTCCCACACACATGTATAGAGAAACATACACACCAGCTCGCCATGACTTACAAAATTCGTTCAAATCCAGGTATAGATAACGAAACTGCTGGGCGAAATGAGTGTGTTGTATGAAAGGAGAGAAGGTTAGCACTCCCCTTGATAAGGATGGAAGAGGTCCCAGTGGCCTGTACAACACGCATATGGTTAAGGCATTGCTGCTTACGTTGCGGCATCTAACCAGTTTTTGGGGCTGTGCTGAGTAGGTACTCCATCTTGTGAAAGTGCCTCCATTTTTTCTTTTACCCCCATCCATTAGCTGCAGGGATACTTCGATAGAAGACTGGTTTAAAAACTTCCCTACTGGCTAAGCCAGTTTTAGGCAGCCTATAAATACGTGTAGAAATAAGTATTTGTGATGCTACATTTAAAAAAAACCCAACTATCCAAGTGAACTCCAGATGTCCTTCAGACAATTCTTCTCAGGGAAGACAGATGGCTAGGAAGCCTATCAGAGGGTTCTGATGGTGCCCAGGTGTGATGAAAAGTCTCCATCAGCTGAGAACCAGAAACCTAGGAGAGGCACCCAGAGGCAGATCTCCATCCCACCCGCCTGGGCTCTTCTCTCCCCTAAACATTGTAGTGTTAAAAGCAGGGGGGATCCAACAAAAGTGGCAGTTTTGTGCAGTGCTCCTATGGAAGGTGCCTGACCACACGTGCTTCTGTGCAATGCTCTAGTTAGAACCATAGTGGGGGAGTGAGCCAGAAGGGACCTCCTGGGCCATCTAGTCTGACCCCCGGCTCCACTCATGTAATCCCCAACTTGTGGTTGTTCAAACTTTCCTTGAACACCCTCACTGATAGGGCTCCACCCATCAGCCCATTCCATATCCAGAGTTGTATAAACTCTGGCACATTTACAAAGCTACATTTACAAAGGGGCACATATTATTTGTAGCATTTGTACCATGTCTATATCAAAGGTCTCAAGACATAACCTCCTTCTGTAACCTGGTGCCCTGCAGATGCTTTGGATTGCAAGTCCCAGCATGCCTGATCTACTGGGCATGCTAGCTGGGACCAATAAGAATTAAAGTCCAAAACACCTGGATAGCCAGGTTTGAAAAGGACAAGATGCATGATTTGCTTCCAGTATTGTTCTGGGCATAAAGCCACACGCCAAAGAAACAACGCCCAAAACAAACCATCCCACCTTTTTCCCCAAACAACCTTACACTCCTGGGGTTGGATCCAGGATTTCACACCTGCTGGAGGAAGACCCCCCTGCCCAACTGGGAGTCCGTCTGCCAGCCCGTGCTTGCTTCCACTGAGCTATGCAACCCATGAATAGCTTCTTGGCCATTGGAATGATCTACAAGCCTGGCTCTGTGGGTTGTCTGGGGCAAAAACTACAGTGGTACCTTGGCTCATGAACTTAATCCGTTCCACGACTCTGGTCGTGACCCAAGTCAAATTTCCCCGTAAGGTTCAATGCAAATAAGGTGAATCCATTCTGTAACCATTTTTTTATCACAAAAATTTGAAATGTGACAAAGAACAACAAAGTACAACAAAGAAACAAAGAACAACAAAGATTGCAGCCATCTCCCCCCTCCGCCCCGAGCACAACCACGATCGCACCCGTCTTCCCCGCACAAGCGCGACTGCGGTCATCTCCAACCCCATCAAGCACGACTGCAGCCACTCCCCACCACACCCAAGCAATCATGCGGGGAAGATGGGCAAAACTGCAACCATCACCCAATGCGGAGTTCACAACCTGAGGCAAAAAAATTCTAAAATTTCTGTTTGCGACCTGATTTGGTCATGAACTGAGGTGTCCATGAGCCGAGGTACCACTGCACTTCATTTGGGGCTGAAAACGAAGCACTTGTGTGTTAGGGCTTGGACTCACCACCTCACGCTTGCACTCATCCTGCTCCACTGTCTTCTCCTCCACCCAATAGCTGCCCTTTCGTGGTGGTACCCAGGACTTTCCCAAACTGCCACACATGCCCACAAGCCTAAGAAGTGCTAAAGAGCCCTACCTGCAGCCCTCTGCCATACCCTGGGGCTGACTGCCAGACACGTCCACACAGAAAGAGTGCTTCCTGGCACAGTTTCACAGCGCATGTGTGAGGACAGGGAAGAAAGGACAGTGGGGAGGAGGCATCTCCCAACTGCTGCTGGGCCAGAAGAGTTGCTAAGGGCATGGCAGGCAAGCCTGCAAGATGCAGGACTTCCCGCCAGCACTGCAGCGCGGGTGCGGCACCCGTGGCCAGGGCCAGGGAGACCCCATCACAAAGCCACAATGCGTAAACTGCGTATGCCTCCGCTGAGAACATCCCCCATGGGCCAGGGCCTGCATTTACAACTGCCAAAATGCACAGGCACCAGCTACTTCGCTTCACATGCTGTTGCACTTCTTGAACACCAACACTCAGACACCATAACCAGCTGCAGTGCTTCGAAATGCGCCCTAACATGGCAACTGCGCCACTTACTTCAACCCAGCGAGGCTGGGCACGAGAGCAGCTTTAATACTGCTTCCCCTATCTACCCCTCCCCAGTGAAACAAAGCAGGGGTACAGCCCTTTGCTGAGCCCCAGGTCTAAATGCCATTCTGGATCAGTACCTGGCAGATGCATTCCAGAGAAGGGCCAAAAGAACCAACAATACCAGACTACTGAGCATAAAAGTCTCACAGGTTGGGAGAAAGAGGCATGATCAACTGGAGAACTTGGAGGACCACACTGGACCTACATGCTGGATTTGGGTGCAGGGGCTGCTCCCTCAGGGGAAAAATGCTTTCATTTTCTGCAGCTATCTTATTCATTCTTAGAAACCTGATTTGGCTTTGGAAGTAGATGTTATAAGGGACAAGCCAATACATCAGACACCAGTGCATCAGTATTACCAAGATCCACATAAAATCCCACCTTTTATTATGCCATATGGTAACTGGTTTGGATGTGTAAGATATTGAGAGCACCAAAAACAAGAAAAAGAAGGCTGAGAAAGGAACATCAATGCTGGAAAAGGGAAAGCCATACCATTAGCAATACAAGTTCATACAATGAAGTTTTCAAGTTGTTTTTTTTTTTTAAGTTTTGTTTCGGGGGTTTTTTCATTGAAATAACTGTACAAGTATTGGGAAAATTGCCATGTTTTTTAAAAAGAAAAAAAAGCCACAAGCAAAGACTCTTGTTTTTAACAGTTAAGGGGGGCAGGGGAGGAGCCAGAATGACTCATTGTCAAAGCATCTATTAGAGCGCACAATGAAAGGAGAAGCAGAACACAGCAATGGTGGAAAGAGTGCTTTGCCACACAGTAGGCGAGGAAGGGGACTAAAAGAAAACGGAGAACTACAAAACATACTCATTTGGTCGCTTTAAAAAACAGGCCTTTTTCTTTGTAGTAGTGGGGCATCTTTAGCCGCATAACTCTTCTAGCTGAAGTCTGATGCACCTTCGGGACCTTTTGGAATGCAATTCCCATCATTTCTAGCCACTAGGGTTGTCAAGGAGGGGAGCTGAACACAACACTAGGGCTTTGCGTTCTGCAAGTCAAAGCTTGTAAAGATATCCCAGTTACTTCCGGTTGATGACTTGCCTGCTTTAAGAGATGGGATGCCTCCAGGGAGAGGTAAAGCTCACTTTCTGTGCAGACAGGATTGCTGGGGTTTCTGGTACAAGGAGACATGCCTGGATGGCGACCCCAAATTGTCAGGCACAAAAAACAGAGCCTTCCCCCACCCCCAACAGGCAGGCCACTATGGAGGGAGTAAAAAGACATTCTACCTCAGCAAAGAACTAGACAGACTGACTATCTCTCTCTCCCTCTCCCTCTCACACACACACTCTCTTTTTCCTCTCTTGAAAAAAATCCTTCAGGCTTCCAGCTACTGGGGCTGAAATGTTCTTACATAGTTTTCTCTCTCTTTTTTTAAAAAAACAAACACAAAATACCCCACATTTTTCAGTCACCCCCCAACAGTCTCTAAAGTGATGTTGGTGTCAAAAGGATTCTAACAGTCGCTCTTCCAAAGTTTAATTGTTTTGTCATTTTCTAGTGCTGCCGAAGCAATGATGTTTTCCGTTGGGTGGCAGGCAGTAGAGATCACAACATCTGTTTACAAAGAAAGACAGACAGACATGCTGTTAGTTCCTGCTGCTCAGCATTTCAGGATCACCCCTTTCAAAGTGGCATGAGGACCAAGAACAGCCCCACCTGTATGCCCTTGCAGCTTCTGGACAATCTCTTTTGTTTGGAGGTTCCAGATGTAAACCAGGTTGTCCTCTGAACCAGACACAATCCACTAAAGGAGAAAAACAAATATAGGGAAAACAAGGTGACAGAGCAAAGCTGAGTACCATGCTGAACACCTGGCCAACTGAAATGGCAAATTCCCCACAGACCTTGCTACAGGGTTGAGGCCTGCTTCTCTCCCCCAGTTACCCTCGCACGGCCACTCCCACCCACACAGCCTGATCCCCCCACAGCCTGCTCACTGGTCACTCACCCGGCCCTCCCCTTGGTTCCTAGCGGAGTCCCACTATCCTTGTGTCCCTTCCTTTCCAGCCTGCTCTCCTCCGGCTGGTGAGCAGATGAATCACAAGGCACCCGCAAGGTGGGAATCACATGAACAGGAAAGCTGCTGCAGGTATTGACTGACGGCCTTCTAGGGTTTCCAGCAGGAACGTGGCGCACCCCTACCTGGAGGTGCTGGCCAGCCTTCTGAAGGGTGCTCCGTTGCCACCCCTTCCCCAAATGATGCGCTTCTGCAGCCTTTTTCCCCTCTCACTGCACACAGGTGACCCTGCTAGCTTTCCTGGCCACCCAAACCATTTCGGGGGTTCTCTGCATTTCTTTGCAACTTTCCCCACATTCTAAGAAGTCAAAAAGCCTCACCTCAATCTTGGAACTACCACCAAGAGCTTTCAATCACAATTCACAGTCACTTTGTGGCCTTCTGGCGTGTCCCTTTTCTTTTTAGCCACACCAAACAGCAGAACAAGGCCCCTGACAGCTTTCTCTTGGTGGAATTTAGCTCCCAGGCTAAAAAGGGTCCTGCACTCTTCTTGGAGTTTACATTTCCCAAATGGTGATGGCAGAACTTGTGCCTCAGCTCAAGCACTAAGTCTGCACAGGGAAGCTAACGCCTAAGCTGAAACTCCATCTCTTGCCTGCCTTTGATCCAGCAAACACGACTGACTCAAAGGACACTTGGTGCAGTTTCCTCACCCAGTGAGCAGCGTGTAACTTCAAGGTGTGGGTTTTCTGCAGAAAACTGCAACACACAGCACCCTGTTCACATGCAAAGTCAAATCCAGAAGTCCAGTCTTACGTCTGCAGGCTCAACCTCCCCAACAACAGCTTGGAAAAGAGGCCCTCACCTTTCCACCGGTGACTGAGAAATTGGCAAAGATGCAGTACTTCTCGTTCTTGTGGCCTGTGTATGTCTTTAGGCACTGCAAGGCAAAAAGATACCACAGAGGTCCGCAGGTCTGCAAGGGAGGACATTCTCAGGGATGCAAGATGGTGGGACTCTACAGAAACCACCGGGGCTCCCCGCACTGCCTCAAATGCTAGCTTGCACAGAGGGCGCATGTGACAAAAGCCCAGCCCACCCTGGTCGCATACGGAAAGCTTGGCTGGTCTAGGGAAATTCAGAACTTGGCCTCATGACCACAGTTGAGCCCCAGCAGAGAGTCAGGGCAGGGCATGTTCAGTTTGGCAAAGAGGCAGATCGAGCTTTTGCTGTAGAAGAGGAAATCTACAGCCACTTGGAACTAAAAGTTTAACTCCAAGCAAAGTGAAACTAAGGCCCTGTTTTGAAACGCTTAACAGTGCAAAAGCTCTACAGACGGCTGGGTTCTAGGCAAACACTCATGGCCTCGGGCCACAGTGTACACTGAACTGCCACCACATTTACAGAATTTCAGTCGCATGTTCAGCAGGATAGCACCTTGTTGCCCAAATAAGTGATTGGCTACATCTTGCTAGAGGGGAGGCCGAGGCTCACCTTTCCTTTGCTGTAGTCCCAAAGCTTAAGGGTGCTGCAGGGAAGCAGGGAAAAAAGGATGTTTAGCAAGTTTCCAGGGTGAATCACTCCTGCCCATCAATGGCCTGCTTCCTGTTTCTCACCTTCCCTCCTTTTTCACACAGCAGGACACCTTCCTCATCCCTCGCCCAAGGGCCAGTGCTGTCCTCCCCTCCATCCCTTCTTTCACACTGCCCCTCTTCTTCCATGCTCACTGCCTCTCCAGCCCTTGTGCCCACCCAGGATACCAGCCTTCTCCCTCAAGACTACCTGAGACCAGGGGGCGGGAAGGGGGGGCGGGGGGGCAGGGATCTTCCAGGCTTTCAGCTGAAGGGTAAACATCCTCCCCACCCAAACCCCTCCTGATCCTTCCCTCTTTCCTCAACTGCCTTATTCAAGGATGGGCTAGACATGCACTTGGTAGGCACATTGTGAGAGGAGCTGGCTAGAGTCAGGGGTCAGACTAGATGGCCCGGGAGCCCCCTTCTGACTCACCCTGTTTCTACTTTTGTGAAAGTGAATCCCACAGGTATCTTTGTTCTCTTACACTCAGCCATGGTACAGGATTTTGTATTAAGTCACTTTACCATTATTACCAAAACTGAAAACCATAAGCAACATTTCCAAGCCAAATCAAAGAGAGTGTGATTCTTCAGATGTGTTGGCCTACAATGATCATCCGTAGCCAGTGGTAAGGGATGGAAGAAGTTGCAACCTAACCCCATCATGTAAGCTTCACGCACAGGTGACACACTTGATGGATATCGTGAAGTACCATGAGATAACTAAGCCATTGGCGACACCCCTGGCAATGAAGGGAGTTGCCGTCCATCACATCTGAAGGGCTGAGCCACTTAATTAAGATGTGTTTTGTCTCTGCCCAAGTTCATATACTTGTATAGCTGACACCACAAACAGACTGGCCCTCCACAAAGTGGTCCAATGTTATATCCTCTCAACTGTAATCATTATTTTTCTTATACAAAGCAAAAACAAAACAAAAAATTCCTAGCCCTTACTTATCCAAAGTTGCAGCTAGGATGTACTTTCCATTTGGAGAAAATTTTACGAAGGACACAGGGGGATTGTCATCATCTGTGAAAGAGAGGGGGGGAGGGAGGGAGAGGGAGCACGGCTTGAGTAGAATGTCATTAGCAAGCATGCACGCGCCTTCCTGGAGTGCCACCCCAAGCATAGGAAACTCACCAATCAGTGTCTTCAAACACTGGCCTGACGCAGTGTCCCAGATCCGACTGCGATGCCAAAAGGAAAGCCACCATTAGTAAGGCAGTAAAACCCAGGCAGAAGTTACTTCCTCCCAGGACACACAGCTGCAGAAGCATCAGAACATGTGAAATTGCCTTCGGCTGAGAGAGACACTCAACCCACCTTCTCCAGGGTGGCTGAAGCCCTTGCAGCCTAAAGACGGTATTCAATTTTGCAGGCTCTCCTGTGCTCCACTGCTGGACGGAGCCAGAGGCAAAGGGGCCGGGGCCAGCTGACTGCCACTTGCTCCACCTTGGTAGAGGCATTGCAGCCTTTCAGAACAGGGCAGAAATGGCACAACGGCTGGAAAACCACTGGACAATGGCGGGGGGGGGGCAGGGACCACATGGTGTCATGCAGAAGATGGTATGTCCATAGTGGGGACCTGATGGGCTGGATTGGGATCTGAGGTTCCACACCTCTGCTCCAGTCCAATACTGTCCATGCTGGTGGCTTTCAGAGTCCTGAAGCAAGGAGTGTTTCCTTGAGTTGCTTTTAGCTGGGGATGCCAAAGGGGGATACAAGGACTTTTGCAGGCTGGTGGGCACACTTGCCCACTGAGACATAGAACAGTAGAGTTGGAAGAGGCCAAGGAGGCCATCAGGTCCACCAATCCTGGGCAGCTGCCTTTCTTTTTGCAAGTGAGAAACTACATTAGCCTTCTACAGCCAGGCCTGGAAATGATGGGAATTGTGATCCTAATGCATCTCGAGGGCACCATGTAGGGAAAAGCTGCACTAAACCTTTCAGTAAATGAATTGGAATAAACAAACTAGTCAAGATGAAGTTAAGCCTGAAAAATCCATTTCCACTGTAGAAGTGAGAGTTTATAAGCAGAAATAGACAGACTAAATGGAAAGATGCTATGCTGGGTTTCCTAAATGAATATAAAGAACCATTCCCAAGAGGAAATACTTTTCAACCATAAAGGTCTTCAGTGGTCCAGTACACTGAGCTAACCACTCTTGCAGATTAAATAAATCCCAACATGAAGACGGAGGCCCATCACATGCTGGTGGGCAACAAGCCAGGGCAAGATGTCCAGAGGCAGGCTGGACACACAGGGAGGCAACCCTGAGTGTGGCTGCAGGACTCAGTCACTGCATGAAAGCCACAGAGGCACCTCCTCTCATAAACTGACTCTCACTCATTTCAAGCTGTGTATGGTAGCTAATTTTTCCCGCAGTGCTAATGAAATGCACGTTCACATTTTCAAAGTTTCAGTTCAGGATATAGACAGGGAGAGGGGGCCGAGTTCCTGGAAAGTGGATGAGGAGGAAGATCCCTTGCCACTGATGGCGATCAGTGGTGGCTATTTTCCTCCCCACAAAAAGCTCCCAGCAAAACATATTGCCAGGAAATACAGACACTGTAGCCTTTAATGCATATTTGCATGCACAGCTATGGATGGGGAGACCCGTCAGCCACACCAGCCCACCAAGTCACTTTGCAGTAACTGCGAACTCCCAAGAATGGGCACCCAAACACTTCAGCGCACCTCTCCTTTCTCTTTCCACTTACCAAAGGCCGTCGTAGCTGCTGGATACAATCAGAGACCCATCACGGTTAAAATGCACCTGGGCAAGGAGAAACAATGTTGCACTTATGGCATACCTGCAGCGTTGAAGGCAGGAAAAGAGGTCCACTGTGTCTCGTTTCCTGTTGCTCGGTGCCAGAGTCTGCTGCCCTGCTTCAGACTTGGCTCGCATAGTAAGGAACCCATTTAAATCTGGTGGGAAGCTTAAAAGGCTTGTTCCCAACACACCGCCCAGAAGCCTTGTGGCGTCTGCACTGAAGTGCCATGCCCACCTGGAGCCAAAGCCACTGTGTGGAACACTGCACTCTGATGACCCGGCATATGGAGCAAGCACCAGTGAAACAGGATTTTCGGCCAAAATTGCCTCCCCAGCAGCTGCCGCTAAACCGAGCCACAACGGCCCACTTGCCAATGCCCCATTCACCCAGGCAGGACTCAAAGCTGGTCCCAGCACTCAGCATTTGCAAGTCCTCCACCAAAAGGACTCCAGACAAATTCTTACTCTCCTTCTCCACTTGGGGAAAGGGAAAGCACCAGCTTAAAAGGGGGACAGCATCCTCATTCACCCTGAACAAGAACTTACAGCAGAAACTGGGTCAGAATGAGCCGGCAGCGTTTTCAGGCACTTCCCGGTTTTTACATCCCATATCCTCACGCTTTCGTCAAACTGAAGAAGATGAAACAGCGGAGACATTCAGCAGCAGCAGCAGCAGCAGCCTTTCCCCTCTTCCAGGCACTCACAGGCCTCACTGATTGTAAAGCGCTCCTGTTCATAAAAACAGGCTCCAAACAGCCTGCCATACCTGAAGCACCAGGAAGGAGGGCTCCTCGCACTTCCTTAGACCTTCCCAGATGGAATGAGGACAAGACTCACGGCTTGGCTCAGACTTGCCTCAGACTGCAAAAGCAAATCTACTGCAAAGGATGCAGGGAAACGCCTATCAAACCCATCTCTTTGTTGCTTCTGCCCCTCCCTCTATGCAAACTTCCTCTAAATTGGTGCCCTTCAGACTGGTTGGATTATAAACACCCGGCATCCCCCAACCAGATACAAGTTGTAATCCAGCACACCTGGAAGGTACCAGACTAGGAAAAGCTGCATCCTGCAGGTGTCTTGCAGACCATGCAAGCTGAAGCTAAAATGGAAACAGCCAGAGGAGGGAGGAGCCTTTCTACTTCCCTGCCTAAGAACATCAGGGCCTCCTCATTCACACCCCGCTCCTCTCTCCAGGTTCCAGGATAGTTAACACCCCATAGGAAAGCAGTGCAACACATTTTAGTTTTGAAACACTTGGCCAGCCTGAGGTCTGAGAGGAAGAAACAGGGGCTAGCTTTAAATGCCTTCTGAAAAACTTACCTGACCAGTACAGGATAATACACCTGCTCTGCTCTCACAGTCTTGTCTTTAATGGTCTATGGTTTTGTTTTGTTTTTATATGACTGTATTTTATCTTTAACTGCACTTTTAAAGTGAACCTCTCGGAGGCTTTAATGTCTTAAGCAATATAGAAGTGTGATAAAAAATAAACAGCAACCCTAGAACTACAAAAGACACAGTAAAACACAATAAAACCCCCACTCGAACCATCGCGACTCATCTGAACAAATTAGCAGCCTCCTCCTGCTTCTGGCAGGGGCGGTGGCGGCCTTTTCACTTGGACTGCGGCCAGGACATACCAAGCTGGGCAATGCCTGTTCTTGCTTTCGAGCAAGCGGCAGGATGGCAGTCCAAGTGGAGGTTCGGCATCTACATTCAACATCTGGCAGATGCTTGCTCTGCCTAGCTTTTCTTCTTGGAGCAGGCATCTTAAATAGAAATGACCTGAGGTCTTGAAGCAAAGATTGGCTTACTTTTCAGCTTAATTTCACTGAAGTTTCTTGGCACAATCAGCAAGGGTGCAACCCCCTGTGAGTCTGGACAAAAAACAAGTCTACAACTCCCGGTATGCCCCAGCCAGCATAGCAGCAAGCTGAAGGCAAGGCTGGGGCATGCTGGCAGTTGCAGACCTGTTCTTTACACAAAGTGGCTGCCGAATGAACCCATGAATCTGCCTTTATGGAAGAGGACAGTGTTTCACTCTGTCAGGGTTGATGGGGCTTCTCTCCGCAGATGCTCACCCACCCACATTCTGGAAGGCACCTGCTTTCACTATGACAAAAGTTATTCATTACAGCCAGGCTGGGCTCTCTTTTTACTGCTGTGAGCTGGTTTGGGGGGCCATCATTGCCACAGAAGTGGAATAAAATCTTGGTAAATGAGAAATAAAGGCCACCCTGCTGGCTTAAAAATAAGCCTTCCATAGAGAACACCAGGGCACGTGAAGTTCCATGGGGTGATGCTGTTTTTAGAAGCTCACATTCTGATGGTGATAGAAAAGAAGAGGGACACCCAAACCATGGAATAAAACCAGCTTTCAAACAAAGTTAAATGAAGTGAGAACAAACTTTAACCATCAAAGTAAGAGGGCAGTGGACGTGGGAGAGACAGTGCAACAGCAAGATGGGGTGCGTGCACAGACCATTCGGAGTGTTAGATGCCAGAGTTCATCCACACAGGATGGACAGATATGTGCAAACCGCCCCAACCAGATGCCCCTAATCTGCATGGCAGAAGCACTAAACAAGCATGACAGGGCAGAGGCAGCAGAGGCATCCTCATGGCACCGTGGCTGCTCCACTTCTGACCCCGTGGCCAGGGAGAGCGCCCCTGCTGTCACTGCCATGCTGGCTGCGGAGGCCTGCCAGGCCAGCTCCATCAGCACCTGCCTCCTGAAACAGACTGTGGCGTTCCAGCAGAACTGTGCCAACCATTTTCTGTCTGACAAATGGAGATGAGGTCGACCAACAGCCTCTCCCAGAAAAAGCACGTGTGCTTACCGAACCTGAGACGATGAGGTTTGACTGAGGGTTGAAGTTGCAACAGAACACATAGTTGCTGTGCCCTTTCAGGGTCTTTAAGCATTTTCCCTAAAAATGAACAGAAACAAAACAGTTGCACATTGCTGGGCAAGGATGCAGGTTGGAAACTCAGCTGTTCTCATGCCACCTTGAGAGGAAAGTAGTCTGTCTCAGCTCCCCAACTGCAGTTCGGGAGCGACAGTCTCTCTAACAATGTCTCACATACAAATTAGAGCCACCAAGGAAATTTGCCTGACAACTGTTACAGGGCAGGAAAAAGGGTAGCCTTCTTCATGCCCCCAACATTCACTTGTGGAATCCCACTTGCCCCAGTAGCTGCAGGTATGGGAACTGGCCAGAACAGCATGGAGATCTGTTTCCACAGGCATTCTAGTCACCTGGGCCCAGGATGCTGTGATAGGCAGGTGCAGGGTGGCTGCTTTTGGGCCCCGCTGGTGGGCTTCCAAGGCATTAAGCCTGCTGCTGATGATGATGATAATGAAGAAGATGACGACAACACTGGACTGGGCCAATCTGCCTGTGACCTAGCAAGATAATTCTTGCAGTTCCTATGTAAAGATGATTAACTTCCTCTGAGGAACAGTGCGCTTTCTTGGAGCACTTGCCCAGCTTTAACACGGGCCAGAAAGCATTCACAGAGCCCCTCGCGCATGACTACCCCGGAGCCTGGCAGCCTCGAGGGCCAAAAGGCTGGATTCTCCCCTTCTCCCCCAGTGGCACCATGCTTCTCCCCACCTCTGAAATGGAACCTGCTGCCAATGCTGTTGAATGCACTGCAACTGTGCAACCCACCATGACATTATAAGCAAACAAGAAACACAAAGAGCGCCTGCATTGTTTTGAAAGGGATTCTGAATTCAGACACGGCACATGATCTGCACACATTCTGCATTCTTCCAAAAACACTGAGTGGTATGTAGCAAGTTCACGAATACTGGCAGCGCATGAAAGGGCCCATAACGAAAAAGGGGCCTGCAGTCCCAAAGGGGGAAAGAGCAAAACCAGGGGAAGCCTGCTTACATCTGGAGGATGTCATCTCACAGCCAGTTTCCACTTTTCTCCCATGAGCATGACAAGTTGAAGAGATCAAAGACCCATCCAGGACATTAGTGGCGCCCCCTACAGGACTCTCCAAGTGGGAGATGACAGCAGCCAAGAACAAGAGCTAAGAACCATGTATCAGTTTCCAGGATGCTTGAATCAGCAATGAAATATACATTGTTAAACAAAGCACTCATTCAGGGGTAAGTTTCAAAGCAATCCCATCAAAAAATAATAAAACCACAGAGCTAAACAAAACCACCTCCTGGTTTTTAGAATACACTGTCTTGCGTTCATTCAGCGGAAGGAGGCCGGCCGGCCGCCCCTGTGCTCACTGGACAGTGCGGCATCACCTGGCTTCTACCAGCTTTATGCTGAGGACATCACCTCCCTCAACCAATGCTAACACAAGGGATCTTGTATCGATCTCTTTTGCCCGACAAAGAACATGCAACATTAAAACAAATACAGATTGAGAAAGATGCCATAGGCAAGCTAGATATAAATGGAGGTAATTCTTTTAAAGGTTTAATCTGGCCCATACTTCCCACGAAAAGACTCAAGATGTCCCTGCACACTAAGCAGAGAAAGCTAAAGGAATTGTGATTTAAATCTCCTAAAAACCAAGTCTGTTTTTAGTTGGCCAGGGCACCCTTTCTTAATATATACATCACACTAGAATCAAATTAAATCTTTCCAAGAAAGGTATGTCAATAAATTGACGAAAGTAATTGCAACAAAACATCTTACCGAGCTCACATCCCAAATTTTGAGGGTTTTGTCATCTGAGGCAGAGACAAGGAGGTTTGAATCAGATGACCAAGCAACATCAGAGATCCCCTGCAGTAGAGAAAATGCATCACGATTAGAATGTGCCTGTCTGCACTAGTTTAATTAGCATGTTGTATATATACAATATCTGGGACAAGGTGGCTGAATTTGGACTGCAAATGAAATGCTCCTCCCTGTCCAAAGCCCCCTGCTGGCCAAACCGCTCCCTGAGATGCTTGCCTGTGGCATGCAGGGAGCTCTGGGTGCAGGGTGCATTCAAAAATATGACACCTCCTTGCAGGCTAAAGCTGAACTGTCTAGCACACTGCCCCTTCACTCTGCATCCTGTGCAGACCAACTCCAGTCCTATTTACACCACTCCGTTCAAGTTTTGACCAGACCGGTTTCATTTCCATGCTTTATCATGCAGCTGGAAAAGATAACCAGCTAAGCTGCCATCCCAGGGCCTCCCTGTCATGGCTCTGGTAATGCTCCCTTCCAGAGAAGCTGCTTGCCAGCCACACATGCCCCTCAGGCAATCCCGTATCTGTGCAGTGGTTTACTTATGCATTTATTACATTTCTATCCCATACATTAGTTAGGGTGGCTCTCTGGGCATCATACAAAATATAATAGCAAAAACTATTATACCAGACATATTAATAAACAATAACAGAAATGAAATACATTAAAACCCAACAAGAAAATCACACAATAATCACCATCAATGAAACCAAGGCACAGCAGCAGTAAAATCCAATAAAAACCATATAAAATTTCTTTAAAAGTATTTCAACTATTAAAATAGTGGGCAAATAAAAAAGGTCTTTGTCTGGAGCTGAAAGGAGAGAAGGTGCCAGGCAAACCTCTTCAGAGGGCTGGCTCCATAGCCAGGGTGCCACAGGAGGCCCTTTCCCTTGTAGCCACCCTCTTTGTTTCCTTCACGGGGGGTTCTCTGAGGACCTCGGATTATGATCTTAGGGTCCAGGTGGCACTTACAGGAAGAGGCACTCCTTTACATAGCCTGGCCCCAGGCCATTCAGGGCTTTAAAAATCCACTTGCTAAATGGCCCGCATTTCAACTGGTAGCCAATGAAGTTAACAGAAGACTGGCATTATATGCTTGTATCAGCCAGTCCTCTCAGCAGCCCCACTGCTGCACTCTGGACCAACGGAAGCTGATGACCCATCCTCAAAGGCAGCCCACACAGAGAGCGTCACAATAATCCAAACGAAAAGTTGCCGGAGCATGGATTACTGTTGCTGGGTGGTTTCAACTCAGCATCAAGCACCTGAACAAGGCCATTAGCAGGTCCGAACGATGCACTCACCAGTTTGTGTCCAGATATTGTTTTTTCAAACTTGCCATCATAGGCCCCCCAAATTTTAATCAACTTATCAGCAGCTAAAGAAAAAAGGAGAAGGCTCCAATGTGAAAAGACGCAGTTTATGAACAAGGCTTTTTCACCACTCCTGCCTTCCCTGCATGTCTTTTGCTTCCCGATGACAGATACCACAGCACCACGCTCGGTATGTCCGGAGCAAGGTTCTGGGACTCCCTGCTTCTGCCCACCTCCATCTGGCTCCCCCTGTGCCCTGCCCACCTCTGCAGCAGTATTCCAACATGGCCAGGTAGGAGAGCTTGGTGGGCATGGACACAGCAAAGCCCGCCTGCATTCAGCCACACTTTGTTCTGCTCATGCTACAAAAGAGTGGGTCGCAGGGGGGCTCGCATCCACCAATGCTTCTATCGGAAAGGCAGGGAAATCAGAACTTGGGGCTCACTGCAACTGGACGCCCAGTCCCCATACCCATAACATGCAGGGACACACAGGCCTTCAACCATCAACTGTCCTGTAGGAAGGACTTGGGGAAAGGGGGCAGATAAGGAAACATTTGATCTGTTTCCAGCTGCATTCTCCTACCCTTGCAGGGGTCATCCAGGCCCAAGGGATGCATCCTGATGACTTTCAAAACACCTGTCCTTACTGCTTACCAAGCTTTTATTGTCCTTATGTCACTCACAGCCACCTTGATGCAATGACCATCTTGAAAGTCACCATGTAAAAAGGGTAATCAATGAACAATTGATATCTTCTCCCTTCCCTAGACCAGCCTTCCCCAAATTGGAGACGGCCAGATAGGCTGAACTGGGCCTCCCTCCTGAAACGCTCAGCCCTGGGCTGTGGGGATCCTGGGCACTGCAACCCAACCCACCAGGGCAGCTCTGGGCTGCAGGCCAATGCACAGGACCAGGTGAGGCATGCTGGGAGCTTTCTGCTTAAACCTGCACAGAACTGCACTCCAATCTAGTAATTGAAGATCTGCTAAAAGGTAACAATGTATAAGCTAAATAACAAGATCTTAACAGATATTTACATCCCATGCCACATAATATTTATCTCAAGGCATATTATCTCATAATATTTATTTCAAGCTGACAATGTACACTTAAGCACAACATTGTAATTATAAAAGGAAATACACAAAAAGAAGCAAGTAAAACAGCAAAGTAAAATGCTTAAGTACCCTACCACATTATCTTAGAATCCACATTATTCAAATGCTTAGGGTGCAATCCTGTGCCAGCTTAAACAGGAAAAAGTCCTATGGCAGTGGAAGGAGAGAGAAAGGCAGCCCTCTCAACCAGTATTGCAGTACCAGACACTTACAAGAACTGGCCAGCCACTCCCCGTTGGGACTGAATTTTACCGAGGAGACAGCTTTCGTATGTCCTGCCAAGGTGAACTTCAGAGCATAGTTTGGTTTTACAGGTGCGGGCTGAGAAAAAAGAACAACAACAGAGAAATAAACACTTCAAGTGCTACATACACCACTTGAGAAGCATCAAGCCCCTGTGAGGCACCAAGGGGCTTCCAGGGTATGGCCACATCCCAAACAACCTGTTTTCTCTAATCCCAGGCAGGAGGCAGCAAGCAAAAGCTGATCTAGTCCCTATTATGTTGCATTTGACTTGATGAGCTCCAAGATGTGCAGGCATTTTGTTGGATGGTAAGAGCAGGCATTCTGGGCCAGGACAAGGGTCCATCTCATCCCAGATGCTGCTTACACAGCGGCCAACCATCCACAGGACACACACAAGTTCAACACATCGCCCCCAAGTCCAACACATGCCCCACTCACATTTCTTGGTAACGGGCACGCGGTCATAGTGCCTTCAATGTTGGAGTTAAGAGCCACCGGAAGTAACTGTTAATGGCCTTCTCCTCCATGAATGTGTCTGACCCCCTTTTAAAACCATCACCACATCTTGGAGCAGTGAAATCCACAGTTTAGTAAGGCACTGTGTGAAGAAATCCTTTATCTACTGGACTCTTTCACGATTTAGCTTTATGAGATAACCCCGTTGGTTTCTAATATCATTAGAAATGAAGACAATGCTCTCTGCCTCTCCCCCACACCTTCTCCACACCCAGCATCATTCTGTGCACTTCTCATCCCTCCCTTCCCTTGCCTTTTTTCAAAGCTGAACAGTCCCAGAGGTGGCCACCTTTCCTCACAGATGCTTGCTTCAGTCCCTCCAACATCACAGTTGCCCTCCTCAGCACCTCTCCCAGATCTGCAGTATTCTTTTTAAAATGCAGTGACCACAACCTCACATATCTGATTGGTGTATCACCAGAAAACATTGAATTTGCCACCACAAGACGTAGAACAGATGAATTAAAAAACAGTCTTAAAGGTTCATGAAGAAGTGGTCTACTGATGGCCTTTGCTATGAGAGCTAAATGAAGCCTCCATGACCTGAGGCCATACACCTATGAACACCAGATGCTGGAAAAGCCAAGCAGGCCTGTCCACTGTGTTGCAAGGTTGTACTAGCTGACAAACTGTGCTAAGCGCAAAATAATGGACTAAGCTGAACCCCGATGCAGCACAGCATGCTAGGTATGCATGAGTTTGGGCTTATCAGCAAGCCTGTTGAAGTATTCTTGCACATATCTAGACAGGAAAAGGTCCTACAACTCCCAGCATTCTGCAGCAAGCTGGGAGTTGTAGGACCACTTCTGCTTAAACATGCTCTGGACTGCACCTTTAACTGAGGCAAATACAGAACTGGCTCGGCAGCAGCTCAAGAAAGCAAAAGGCATCTTTCTAATAAGCATTCAGAAAAGGTATTGGTTGTGTAGTAGAAAGGTTAACATCTGATGAGGTAACACATATTGGGATTGATGTACCAAGGGCAACTGTCACTCCTACTACCGCACTGAAACCACATGTGAAATACTGTCCACCACATGCAACAACCATCAAGCAAAGTTATGTGAATTCAGCAAAGATGCTGAACCCACAGAATCCAACAGACTCCATATCTCAAGAGCTGAGCGCAGCTCTGGGTGCAGCTGGACTTGCAGACAAAATGAATTTCCAGAAACCTCACACCCACCTTGCTCTGATTGGTTGAAGAAGAAGGTGTTGATTGTGCTTTGGTGGATTCTGCATCAGGTTTCTTCTCCTCTGTTGCCATGGCTCTGGAAGCGGACAGGCCAGGACTCAGGCGCTTCAAGAGGTGAAAGAGCACACTGTTTCGAAAGGAGGGTGTCTCCCACTCAAGAGGAAAAGAGAGGGAGAGGGGCCATTTTACCCCTGCAATACTAAGCAGCAGCAACCTGACACACCTCACCCACATCTTGAATTAGAACTGGTGCAGGCTGCATTTCGCACACAGCACAACACAGTGAAGCCTGAGGAGCAGCATCCTGTTCCCCACAGGAGTCTGCAGAAACTTCTGGAAAGCTCCCAAGCAGGTGGGCAAGTGTTGCCCCCATGGGATACTTCGCCTGAACATGGTGATTCTATCAAGCCATCATGGCCATTGATACATCTCTCCTCTTCCTCTGTGGATTTGCTTAACCCTTTCTGAAAACCATCAGTAGGAGTGGCCATTACATGACCTTGTGGAAACTGAAGCTGCACCAAGTTGAGGCTGCTTTCTCTCTCAAAGCAAGCACTATAAATATGCGCTGGGTACCTCTACCTGTGTGGAAGGAAAGGGCTGGAATATGTTGCATTCAAGGAATACACAATTTCCAATAAAATGTTAATGCAGAAAGAATGCACTGTGCAGATTAGGTCTCTTTTGTCTGCAGATTCTGGATAATCACATTCCTCACATGGCATCAAGCTCTTGAGTGTGACATAACTAGAACACTGCCTTTCTCCACTCCCCATCTAGTTTTACCAGCCTTTATGAAAACTTTCCCAATCCAGTGCTTTCCAGATTTGCTGGGACCCCAAGTACCATCACTTCCATTCAGCATGGCCAGTGTCCATGGTTGAGAATCTTGAGTTGCAGCCTAATGGGCTTGGAGGGGGCCAGGGTAGGAAAGGCTCCTGAACCATGTCACTGTCCTGTTTTTGCTTCCTACAATCAGAAACTCCTACATGCAGCATTCTCCCACAAGGAAGGTTTCCCTCCTCCCCCACACACATCGAGAAGACCCACAGACTGGGCAGGACTTTGTCATCACAGCACAGATCAAACAGGAAGAAGCAAAGGCAGAGCAACAGAGACATGCAGAAGTAAAGCAAGTGACTCAGCTATGCACAAATTCTGTCTCAGGTTGGGCTGGATCTTTCAGCATACAACTTGTAGCTGACCAATGACATGATCAAGTCGAATTTAAGAGTCTGAATGAAAATCAGTGGGAAGTAATTAAGCATGTAATTTCTACTCAAATCCTACGGATATAAATATCATGTGCTTAACTTGGGATGGATCATGTCCTGATGCACAGTTTGGAAATTACTGTTATATATACACCAGGATGATTTTAGCCTGCCAACAATGGTCAAACAGACAATAGTTTAAAACTTGCCTAATTCCTAATTTCTATAAAACCCAAGAAAGAGAATGGAGAATTGTGCCTAGAACCCAAATGATTCTAGAAGTATACGGATCCAAACTGTTTTACTGAAATAATTTTCAATTATCTCATTCTGCCCATTTGACTCTTGTCTATTTGAACAATTAAGAAAGTTTTTCCACTAGCTTAGTATCCTTTTTTTGTTCAATCCATCTTATTTACTGGTATCAGTACTCAGTAGGCCAGGAAGCTTAAAGGCTGCAGTAGATCCTCATGGATACAGATCCAAGAAAAACCTCAAAAGTTTGGGATCTAGCAGAAAGGGGAGGTCATCGCTTCAAGGCTTATGTCCTCTTGCACCAATCATTTTTCCATTATATCCATCACACCATTTGGGAGCAGGGGGAGCAATCAAGAGGTAAAATCTAAGTACCCTTTCCACACCTGTGAAAATAGGTGAAAACAGAATGCAAAGTACTTAAAATTCTGTGAAGGATGGTGTTAAACTGAGGGGCAAGTCAGCACTCTTGGCCACTATAAAAGCAGCCTTCTGGATATAAGATGCTGGCAAACATCACAGAGAAAGGAAAAGGTGTTGTTGGGAAATGGATGCAGGAGGTGCAAGGGTTAAATTCACCCCCAGACTGTATGCCATCTCATAATGAAAGAGAGCAGGAGTCTCTCTAGCATTTGCTTCAGCAAATGTTCATTTTCTACAGTCGGCTCTGCAACAAATGCAAACAATAAAATACTGCACTTGTAATTCCAGGAAAATGGAGCTGTTGCTGCATTGGAAACTATCTCACTGCAGCAAGACCAAAAGAAGTTCTTGCTCGGGCAAAGATGGGCTCTGAGGTATGTTGGTGATGCCCTTGGAAATCTCCAGAGGGAGATCGGAGCTTTCACGCCCAGCAAAGAACCCATCACCCTCCCCCATGACTTGTAAATGCATAGTTTATCCTGCTACACAAATGAGCACATTCCCCTTATCCTGCATAATTTATACATGCTGCAGAAGTGAGCTTCTCCCAGTGCAGATTTTTAATAAAAAATACAACTAAGTGTATAGTTGGACCCTTAGAGGTCAGTAATTACAGAATAACCTTGCTAATGCGAACAGTTTTTGTAGCAGTCCATTTAGGAGCACTGGCAGCAGGCACGTGGCTTCTACTACTTACGCCTATTGAGGTATAAGGGTTGGGCCCAGAATCAGCATTCCTGAGACCTCATGGAAGATTTCTGCCTGTTTGTGGGGACTTCTGCCAACAGTGCAGATCACCCCCTTTTATGGGGTATCTTGACTATGTGTAGCATTTCTCAGCAGCTGAAAGGGGCAGGCAGAGATGGCCACCTCCGTCAGCACAGTCGATACAGGTGAAAACTGGATCCAACCCTAAATGTACAATGCCAGTGGGAAGTCTTGGGCAGTTGTGGTGGGAAGAAATAGAGAATATGAAGTCAAAGTGGGGAGATACAACCAATGCCAGCTAGAGCTAAATATCAAGACAAAATCCTATGCCTACTTCAGCAAAAGTCCCACAGCATCACACCCTTCCAGCCACACCTTAGAAAAAGGGTCCAAACAAATATGGGATAGTGCCTTAAGAAAACAAAATATTGAGGTTGATAGGCTTCAAAGAGTTCCAGTCAGAAGCCCCCATTTCTCCATCTGTCACTTCTAACCCCCTAAAGGGAGGAACAGCCTTCCCATCAATCCAGCCCCACAACTGACTGAATTCTGCAGCCAAGAACCAGTGCCCAGGTTACCTGTATTCTTTTTCCCTTCCAACTCCTTTTCCTTTTGTGCTGTGTCTTTTAGACTGGTTGGCCCACAAGCAGAAATTGTTTTGCTTTTACTCTGTTCTTTAGAAGCCTTTAGGGTTGAAAGCAGAGTAAAATGCTTTAAAGAGACACACTCTGCCTTGAATTCTATGACATAAATACACTACACAGGTGTCAGTAATTGCTCCACCACCTTTTCCTGCAACTGGCAGCATTGAGAAGCAGCTCCTAGGCATAACTGGCATAGCGGTGCACCCCCACCCTTACCCCTCTTGCTGCTCAAGAGCCACAGCAGTGGCGGAGGACACACTTCGCCTGCAAGAGATCCCCCAGGAGTGAATCCTGCCCCCATACATGCAGGCAGTGCTGAGGGAGAACAGCGCAGGCTTGACTCAAGCCAAGAGTTTGCAGTCTATATTCACTGACACTATCCTCAAATGAGCAGCAGAGCTCCCACGGTGCATGGGGGAGGCCCTTGTGCTGAGATGCTAAGACAAACAGAGCAGCTGAATATTAGTCTTTTCATAGTCTAAATCCTAGCATTGCTCTAATTAATATTACTATTATTTCTCATTTTTCCCTGTTGCAAGAAACCCAAAGGGGCTCACATAATCCTCCTATTTTATCCCCACAACCATGCTGGAGGGTAGGTGGGGCTGAGAGCCAGTGACTGGCCCAGAATCCTCCAGTGAGTGTCCTGGCCAAGGGGAAGATCCAACTTGTGTGTCCTCAGTCCCAGTTCAGCAATGTAATCACTTGCCACACTGCCTCCATGGTAATGCCTATCTGGTCAGCTTTCAAAGTACCACAATTAGTGCGGCAACATATAGGTACGCGAGGGGGTGTCATGTGGAGGTGGGTAGAGACCTGTTTTCCCCTGCAGAATGCACTCCAGTGGAGCAAAGCTCAGGGAATCAAGGTTCAGTTTGGATACCAGGAGGTACTTCCTGACAGTTAGGACCCCTCCAGTACGGAATGGGCTTCCACAGGTGGTTCAAGCCCCATCAGTGAGGGTGTTCAAGGATAGGCTAGACATGCACATGGTGGACATGTCATGAGCAGAGCCAGTTGGAGCCATCAGACTAGATGGCCCAGGAGGCCCCTTCTGGCTCGCTCTCTTTCTATGTTTCTAAATTCGGATTACGATCACAACATATCGTAACTTACCAGTGCTGCATCAGCATCTGCTTTGTAAGCCACCGAGCGCAGCAGGAAACATGGAAAGCAAAGAAGCATACCCAGAAGAGGCCAGTCCTGAGTTCCACCCCGGCAGCTTAGCTGCTGCTGTGGAGGCAACCTCTGAGCTGTGTCTGGCCACTGCACGAGAAGCAGTGCTACCATGTCTCCACCAGGATGTTTTAGAAAGAATGGCGAGGAGGGCCTCCCTAGTCCTCAGGGCTGGCACACATGCACTTGAAAGAATGGGAGACATGAAGTGGCTCCTCCTCCCACCCACTCCACCTTGTGTCCCCAAGTGACCGCCCACAAGAGATGTGGAACTACAACTCCCACCAGCCCCACCCAGCCTGGCCACAGAAGAGAGGAGCTGGCGTCTGTGGGTGACATGAGGCCGGTGCAGGCAGAACTGGCCAGGCCCTCCATGGCACCACCTCTTCCTCCTCCAACAGGGCCATGCTGCTCTTGAGGCTGCAAGTGCCTTAGCAAAGAGAACTGCAGGGCATAAGTGCTCCAGCCAAGGACCACATCGTCTAGGGAGAAGGGGATAATGGGAGCTGGAGTCCAGCGGTCATGCTGGCTCAAGGGATGATCGGAGCTAAGCCAGTCCAAGCGGCCTGGGGAATGATGGAAATTGTGGAGCGCACAAGGTCCTCACGCTTTCTTCTGCCCCCACCCCACAATTAAGCTGCCCCGCTCCGAGGCACCGGGCTGGAGTCCAAGGGCCATGTTAGTTGGGGGAGCGATGGGGGTTGGAGCCAAAGCCTCCCAGAGGGCTCTGCGCAGGGAGAAGCTGAAAGTTATAACACGGACGAGGAACACGCGCTTTTCTCCCTTCTCGCAAAAGGCCACCCTGCCCTCAAAGTACTGGTAGATCATAGGTGTTGCAGTCCAAGGCAGCTGCCGGGGGAGGGTATGCTGGGAGTTGTAGTCGCAGCTGCTGGCACGAAAGGACGGACCCTCCAGCCGCCGTGGGTCCTTCCCTCACTCACCTTGAAAAGGGGGTCCCTCCTCTTCCTCCGGCTCCCCGGGTGGGGGTCCTCTCCTCCTCCTCGTGAGGCCGCGCGGGTGGGGAGGGGTGGGGTGGGGGAGAACCGAGGTGCAGCAAGCTTCGCGCAAGCGCACTCGAGGGACGCGGCCAGGCGCGGGAGCGCCTCAGAAGAGGCCTCCTCGCGCTCTCTCCCTGGGCGCGCAGGCGCTCGCCGCCTCTACCTCTCCCGCTCCCGGCGCGCGCGCAGAAACGCCAAGTACGGTGCCCCCAAAGGGATAAAAAATGTAGAGAGCGAGGAAACGCTCGCTCCGCTTCTCGCCTCGCCGCCCGCGCCTCCCTCACCAGCGCACGCGCAGCAGCTTGGCTACGGTGCCTCTTGGGGCCAAAAGCAGCTCAGGCTGCGAGCAGCAAGGAACGGAGACGTAACCACAATCCTAGGGAAGGATGGCCCCGAGGGCGGAGCAGAGGAGAGCGCCCGCTCGGCGAGGAGCGCTTGTTACGGCGCGCTCAGAGGGCCAAAAAGGGGACTTGGCGAAGCGGGGCCACTCGCGCTCCTCACAGAGCGTCTTAAAGGGGCAGAAGTGGGACTGCCATTGCGTAGCACGTAGCGAACGGTAATTCCAGGCTTGTTTTGACAGAGAAAAAAACACCTTCCCACATCCTTCTCCTTTTCTCCTGCGGACCGAACACTCACGAGGATTAGAGACAAATCCAAATTGGCGGGCCTCTCAAGATGTGGTCAGCGGGGCGCCTCATCGCGGGCTTCCTCCCATGGCCTGTGCCAGACCAGCTGGGCTTTTCCATGGTGATGAATACCATGGCTAGAGCGTGTTGAGGCAGGTAGGGCACACTTCGCAAGCCATGGCACTGCCATCCTCCGAAGTGCAGGCAGGCGTTCCCCAGATGGCCAAACCTCAGAGCCTGGAGCAGCTTGGCATAAATGAACTGCAGGTCTGTGGGTAATGATGTTCTAATTGGGTGGATGTGGGCTGTGTCAAGAAAGACACCAGAGAGGCCAATCAGACTGATGCTGAAACATCTGGACGACGTGCAAGGAAAGAAGCCACCCTCACTGGTGAGTGCAGCTTGGGGCCAGGGTATCTAAAAAAGCGTCTCTTCTCATATGACCCACCCGCCATCTTAGATCTGCGGCTGAGGCCCTTCTGAAGCAACCTGCTCCTCAGGAAATTTTCTTTATTTATTTATTTAGATTTTTTTTTTAGCCTGTCCTATACAATCCAATTGTCCCAGGACAGCTTACAGCATAAACAAACGATAAATACATAACAAGCAAAAAATACAATAACGAATGAGGGTGGTAACACGAAGAAGGGCCTTTTCTGCAGTGGCACCTTGACTTTGGAAAAAGCTCCTCCAAGAGGTTCACCTGGCACCTTCCTTACAGTCTTTTAGGCACCATTTTTGTTTTGATGGAATTTTAATTGTTAACTTGTTTAAGTAGCATTTAACTGTGGGAATGTCATTATACTGGTTTTAATGTCTTTTATTTGTAATTGTTTTATTTTGTATTCTATTTTGTATTTTTTTTCTGCTGTAACACACCCAGAGAGCCCTATGGCTATTGGGGTAGGTTAGAAATTTAATGAGGAAGATGATGTGAGCTTTCTCTTTTAGCCACCCTTTTTGCCCAAACTAAACGACACATTTTGTACAACCATCTCCATTGTGACTATGCACCAAGCAAAGGGATCCCACTGTGCTGGACAAAGTAATTTCGTTCTTCCATCAGAACTTCCCAGCTGGATCAGAACAAAGGCCTATCACAGGGATGGGCCACTTGTACACCCAACTTTTACAGGGCTGCAAGTCTCATCTTCTCTCACAAGGCTGATGGGAACTGTAGGCTGCAGATGGCCCACCCATGGTCTTTCTGGTGCAGCATCTACATAGTGTTTAATGTAGCAGCCAACATCTCTTTGTCCCCACTGTCTGCTGGTAAAAGAAACAGTCCTTTAAAAAGAGAGATTGCCCATTTCTTTCTCCAGCTGGGAGATGGAACAGCCATGCACTGAAGAGACTTATCCAACCACAGTTCACACTTCTCCCTGTGCCATAAATAATGAGGTTCATCCTTGGACATCCATAATGAAGACTAGTTTCTGTTTCCATGCTAGAGCACTTTCTAATCATTCTGGTTGCAAAGAAACTCTTGGAAGCTTGTGGGTACTGCTTGGGATTAGAAGTGGTCATGGACTGAGCGTTCTTTGTTCTTCCCATGGTAGGCAAAAACAGAATTATGCTAAAAAGAAAACTTTGGCTAAGGGGCAGTCTAGAAATGTAATAAAATAAATGAACATTGTCAAATTATGCAAACTGAGAGAAGTAGTACAAGTTTGCAGCATTTCTGCACTATTATTATTGGCATTATTTGTAGATACAATCCTGACAAAATTAGAAAAACCAAGAAGGGGTGGTGCAAACCACAAAAGAGAGGAAGAAAGAAAAAAAGAGGATAAAAACCTGTCATGCAACATGTCTATGCTCAACAATCATTTATATTGCTTTTAATTTAACAAGAAAAAGGGTAGCAAAAGGATTTTATACTTCAGTTTAGAATATATACTTCCAGTGGTCCATACAAAATGGACTGCTACTGGATATCAGTGAAAATGTAGCAAGAGCCATAAAATCTTCTGTCTACTAAGTGACCAGTGGGGGGTGTTTATCCTTCCGTACTTGAAATACAATGGCATAATCCTATCCATGCATAGGATTGTCAAACCTTTTTTCCTGTCTTAAAGAGGCAAGAGATTTAAATTTCTTCGTCTCCAAAAGGCCCTGGAAAAAAAAATTGCAAGGCCTTTTTCTATCTCAACACACCCCAGGTTTCTTTGCAACTGTACAGGGCTTTCAGTGACTACTCTTGCTGACCATCTAATACTCATGTTTGGACCCCACAGAACCCCACTCACAAGCCCTGCCAGGATGCCCATAGCTCCCTTTCCAAAGCATGCAAGATGAATATTTCCTAGCAGCAAGCAGGAAAGATGAATCTGCTTGAAGGCTTGCGTTTTGTAATGGTCTGGAGGCCCCATCAGAAAAGGTGCTGGCTGTGCTGCTCTTCCCCAGAGAAAGAACAGGTGATCTTTAATTGCCACCTGGAGTTCCACCTTCAGCACATCATTCAGTGGGGATGTGTCAGGTGTTAAGTGTCTCCTCCACTCCTTCTTGCTATAGCTTTAAAAAACAGACACATACATTCACATAGATGAACCAATTAATTTTTCCATCAGTGTTATTGCCTTTTGTTTTGAACAATCAAAACAAATCATGACAAAGAAGCTAGCAGAACTTATCCTTTCTGGTACCTGTCCACAGCTGCATCCACACATAATGCTGATTCGCAGTCGACAAACCCAGGCTTCGTTGCTGTAGCCATGAACCATCTTACAGGCAAGCAAACAAATTTTTCTTGTTCCTGGTTCCATTCAATTATTTTGTGCATATAATTATTTTGTGCAACCTATTTTTCTTGTTCCTGGTTCCATTCAATTATTTTGTGCATATGCTACCTGACAGCTAAAAGCTCCCAAGGGGGTTCACAAGAAGTGCAAAACACAGTATTAAAAACTTTTCAGCCAATGTTGTCTGTCTCTAGAGTAGTTTGGTTTTCAAGCTGCCGTAGGCAGGCGCTTCCATTGCAGGGTGGACAGCACAAACAAGCCAAGGATAAGTCATGTGTCTGGATGCGGACAACACAGCAAACAATGGCTTTGTTGTTGTTAGTTGTGAAGTCATGTCCGACCGATCGCAACCCCATGGACAACATTCCTCCAGGCCTTCCTGTCCCCCACCATCCCCTGGAGTCCACTTAAGCTCACACCAACTGCTTCAGTGACTCCATCTAGCCACCTCCTCCTCTGCCATCCCCTTCTTCTTTTGCCATCTGTTCTTCCCATCATTAGACTCTTCTCCAGGGAGTCCTTCCTTCTCATTAGGTGGCCAAAGTACTTGAGTTTCATCTTCACGATCTGGCCTTCTAAAGTGCAGTCAGGGTTGGTCTCCTCTAGGAGTGACCGGTTTGATCGCCTTGCTGTCCAAGGGACTCACAGGAGTCTCCGCAAACAATGGCTTAAAGAAGCTCAATTTTGCAAATCATAGCTTGTTCCTGGTTAACCTGCCAGGGTTTGTTTGCTGAAATGAATTCAGGTACAACCCTTGTCACAATCTCAAACTATATTATGGTTTAGCATTTTTTGCAAGCTTGGGCAGGTGGCTCTTTCTGCATCCACCTGAGGAAAGATTACAAAGAAGCCCTGGAAACAAAGAACCTCCTCAGAAGGTGGGGTTGGGCTATTTTCTTCTGCTTGTTTTTAAAAAGGCTTTTGTGACTTCCATGAGGGTCTGAAGGCCCATCAGAAAAGTTTTTATGGAGTTGTAGGTTTTTTCCTATCTAAAATGTGTGAAGGATCCCACATTTAGGTTTAAAAATAAGAAACTATTTCAGTTTAAGAAGATTTTTGAGTTTATCTCACATATCACAAATGATGCAATCTCGTTACTCAATCGTTCAAAGTCACAGTTAAAAAGTAATGATCTTTTGCAACATCCAAAGGAGATGAGAGTCCAAGGCTAAATTGTAGATTGATTTGCTGAGTTACAATCACAACGTGATTTTCCAAAAAATGCACACAAACCCCCCATGAGCCATTTTTTAAAACAAATCTCATTTGGGATGCAATCCTATGCATGTTTAGACAAAAGAAGCCTACAATGGCTGCATGCCTCACTGAGTTTGATATATCTAACTGATACAGGATTGCAGCATCAAAGCATAACTATATGGAAGCTCGCCCGGGTGTCTGGTCCAGCACTGACCGCACCCGGAGGGGAGGGGGGGGTTGCTTTAATTTATCAAGCCTCTATCTCCCTCGCAGGGCTTCCTGTTCTCTCGAGACCGGGTCTAGAGTGCCTCTCTTTGGCGTTGGGCGACCGAGACAGATTGGGGATTCTGTTGGTGTACTGTGCACCCTTCTGCGCAACAGACTCCCTGCCT